CTGAGGGGAGCCGGTACCGAGCTGCAGCGTGCAGCGGACGGCGCCGGGCTGCCCGCGTCACCCCCTGCGCGGGCTCCCGGGAGGTGATCACGAGCAGGTTGCGGCCGGTGTTGGTCACTGGAGGCGGCCGCTCAGGTGCGCGCGCGCCCGCTCCTCGCCGCTCCCGAGCGTCGGGTAACGAGGCGGCACGGGGAGCTGCTGAGAGAAGTTAGCGTTGGTGGTTATAGCGAAGCCGGAATAACCTTACTGAACTCCTGTTTTCAGAGACTCGCTCTAAGCCCTCCGCGTACAAGGAAGCGGAATAGCTCTATTATCGTTAGCGTTTATAACTCCCCCGGTCTTCCTTCCCGCCGCCCCCGCCTCAGGTGCGTGCTCGCGCCGCTTCCCGCCCCTCAAGTGCGTGAGGGTCACCACCCGCCGCGAGGAGCGGCTCTCGAGGGGAGTTTTAATTTGCAGGTTACAAGGAAGCCGGGACAAAAATACCTCACTGGGTTTTAATTTGCTTTTAAAAAAAAAAGAAAAAACAACAAAAAAAAATACATCTCCCCCATTGTTACCGTATTTGTAACTGCCCTGCGCGCGCGCCTTCCCCCCCCCCTCAGGTGCGCGAGGGTCACGAGCCGGCGCGCGCGGCTCCTGAGGGAAGGCCGGGACAGGTGCTGATCCTACTTTTTTAAACTTCTTTTCCAGGTGTGTTTCTATAACGGTTTTAATAAAAAACAGCCGGGTAGCGCTTTCCACCCTTCCCCTCCTGTTTTTGCCCGCTGTGTCGCTCCCCGGGGCACCTGAGGTGAAAATAAGGGAGGGAAGGCGGGGGTTGTGGAATTTTCCCGGAGCTTTGGGATTTGTTGGTGGGTTTGGAAAGCGAGTTATGTGTAGCGTAGTGGGGTGGTGAAAGAGAAGAAAATCCATATAGAAATAGCAAAACTGGGGGAAAAAATTCTCTCAGAATATTTCTACTTCAGGGGAATGTCCCTATCAGCATATAGGTGTAAGCTATTATTGAGGTAATAAGCACTTCATTACTCACCTACTGCAAATGTAAAATAATCTAAAAACTATTGGTGTTTGTAATTGCAGTAGAAGAATGAAAAACAATATTATGAGGGGGGTGTTGGTCCTTTTTAGTGTTAGCGTAGCTCCTATAAAGTGTTGACTCTGGTATGTGTCCAAATCAGAATTTCTGACCTGCAGGTACTCTAAGGAATGAGCTCACCTCCTCTTGCATGAGGTAAAAACGTGTCTCCATCCCTGTCTGTTGTTCCCAGGAAAATACTTTCCTCATAAATCATCTTTATTGTTTTTCAGGAGTTTCTAGATTGCAGCAAAATACAGGTGACTTGACGGTGAAAATTTTTGTTGCCTCCAAAAATAACATTTTATAAGCTACAGTTTTATCAGTGCTGCGTGCTCTTACTTCAGCACATTATCCATCTTATGTGGAGTGCAGGTAAATCACACTCTTAAGCTAGAGAAAAAAAAATTAAGAGCCAAATTGTTACAAAATGAAATTGTGTTCTAGTTTTGTCAAAATGCTTTTTTCTTATTTAGCATTGAATGTTGCAGTAAATTGTGGAGAAGGTAAGTAATTGAGAAAATACCAAAAATACATCCTGTTTAGAAACGTGATAAGAAATGAGAAAATTATTCTATACTTAAGGACCTGGTGTTTTTTCTACTCATCTTCATCTTTATATGGATCCATAACCAATGGAAAGAAAGTGTTGAAACAACGGAAATAAAGTTATATATAGGGTTATTAATAAGGTAGTGGTCTTTATTTTACTCTCGGTTAAATTCTGGATGTTTGCTTTAACTGGTGTGAAACCCAAAAAGGTGAGTGAGAGCACTGGAAGAAATGACAGTTCTGATGCTGGGCATTTACATTATGGGCTTTAATATTCAGAGGTTGTCTTGGTCCATGGCTCCTTTGGTGAACTGTCCATGGGAAAGGTCATACAACCATAGAGTGGTGTGGATTGAAAGGGGACTTCAATCAGGGACACCTTCCACTATCCCAGGGTGCTCCAAACCACATCCAGCCTTGCCTTGGACACTTCCAGGGCTTGCATGTGTTCAGTGTTTTTCCAATACAAACATATTGAAAATTTCACAGGCATGAAAGAGCAAGGGACAAGCAGAATGTGTGCTGGAAAGTGAAATAAATCCATGATTTATCTGCAAGGATGTGCAGCTGTCACATTCAATATGACAGTGGTGACATTCAGGTGTTAGGACAAGGTGTGGCAAACAGGAACACATTTGGCAGAGTCTCATGTTTAATTGAAAAACCTCCATTTAATGCAACCTGGGTTTTGATTCAGTAAACAAGCCAATGTTACAGACATTTAAATGGGCCTTGTGGCAGAGAGACATGTGTGATGGCATTGAGGCACAAGCTCCAAAGCAGTTGGTGCAATAATTTGCTGAATTGAGTGTAAAATGAAGCATAACTTACTGTGTGACCTCTTTATAATGAGGGTCTGAGGTGTTAACAAGCCAAGAAAAGAAGTGTTTTTAATTGGAAAAGGTACTTTGCTATAGCAGCTTTGTATTTAATATCTTGTGCTTTTAAATAATAGATTGAAGTCCAAGTTCAGCTGAAGTTTCAGTGGACTCTTTTATTTAATGTGTTTCTGTTCTCTCCCATAGGAACAATGACCATCCGGGTTAAAATAGACTATTTTAGAAAAAACACCTTTTGTGTCCCATGTCTGTATTTAAAAAATGTCTGTTTAGTATTGGGTTGAGAAGTAAATACTACTGGGAATTTTTTCAGCATGACTTATCAACCTTTATGGCTTCACAGGAAGAAATACAAGCTTCATTTTCAGTACTTTTTTAGGATGCTGTTTATTTGATGAAACTATTATGCTATAAAAACTGAATGGTTTGTGGAAGGATGATGGTCTCTGGCAATGTTTATCCACACAAATCACTTCCTTTCTTGGAATCAGAAGTGTTCTTATATAGAGCATGAAACACAAAGAGCAGAAAAGCCAGGAGCTAAAACAAAGCACAGTATTAAATAAAGGCACTGTTGGGAGAACATGGAAAGGGAATGTTAATGTGGGTATGAGAGATTTTCAGTCTTCTTCCAATATCCACAAATCACCACACAGGCATTCTGCCGGAGGGGGAATATACAGCAAGTGATGTCAGGGTGGCTCTCAGAATTCCCTCATTTCAGACAGGAGGAGCTTGTTGGATAATGGGAATATACTCCTGGAGTATGGAGAATGTATTATAGGCCAGGTGGACAAACCCCCATGCTTGATCAACTAATGCAAACTCCTTCCCCAGGGTGTTTTGCATCTCGCTGCAAGTTCCCATTATTTCATTCAGGAGTAGAAATGCAGAACTCATTAGGCAAATGTGGATATGTTCATTTGTTGAAGAAAGGCAAGTCAGGAGTTGTGTGTGACATTTAATGAAACTGATTTTGTGATAAAAATATTTTGTAATGTCTAGAAGGGTTTTGGCTTTGTGCAGGGGTCTGCAGCTCTGTGCTGGTTATACTGAAAATACCTAATGCAGATAACTTTTCAAAAATAATCTGACTTTCAAGAGGTTGTCAAGTTTCTGATCCAGAGTTTTTTTGACCTGGATGATTTCTACAAGCAGCCATTTAGGGGTTTTAATTATGCTGTCTTTGTAAACTGGTATTGTAAATATCTTATAATGAGGTACTTTCCCATTTCTAGTCTAAGCTATCTGTAACCAAGAGTACATCTGTATTTTTCTTTATTTTCTCCCAGTGATCAATATTTAGAAGTTAATTAATGAAGCAAACTCACTGAGTGTCAGCAGGAGCAGTTTGTGCCAGAGGCCTTTCTTGAACAGGTATTTCTGGACAGTGGGACTGAGGAGGGCAGTTCTGCCAAAGCTTTGGCACTGCTCAGGATTCTTACAAGACTCGAGATGATTCAGATAAATGTCAGAAGGAATTTTCTGGCTGCTGGAATTAGGAAGTTGTGTAATGCAGTTTTCTTTTGATATCAGCATGGTGTTAAACAGACTCACTACCTTACAAACTAGAACCACCAGTCAATCAGCTGAATTCAAACAGTCTGATCGTTTTCTGTTTACATACAGTGAACAACAGGAAACTTGGAGAGCTTGGCAAAAAGACCCACTGGTGCAAAGGATGGCATTTGATTTATTATTATTTTAATTGCTAAGGGAGAGTGTAACTAAAGTCCCTGGAGAAGTCTTCAAAGGAAGAAAGATAAATATTGAAAAATGTTATTTACAGCCTTTAGCGTTTCATCCATGTAAATACAAATTTAAATACAGGGGCTGATCACATCTGCTGAATATTCTCCTTACTAGAAACAATGCTGAAGAGTCAAACACAGCTGCCCAGAGAATGGTGGAATGCAAGGACTTGGTGCCTCCATCCGAGTGGACATCCTGATCTGGTGTTTCTGTGCTGGCAGAGCGTGACCATGGATGGGCTCCTGTCAGGCTGGGCTGGAGTCCTTAATGGGCCTTTGAAATGTGCCAGCGTGAAATGCTCAGTTTGTATTTTGCTTTGGGATGATGTTTTCTGGCTCATGGCATAGCTGCAGTCTGATAAAGTGTCTAAGGCCTGCGAGAGGATTTTCTTTGAGCTGTTGGCCATATTCCCCTCTCTCTGGTTTTGCAGCCTCCTGAGCTGATACTCTGACTGCAGTTAATCACTCTCTGATGGAGTTCACTAAAAAATATCCTCATTAGTCCAGAAGAGTTTAATATTTTTTCCCTTGGATTATTTTGAAAAACAGCTGTGCTGCTGCACTTAGGTTGAAAAGGATTTTATGATCCATATTATGCACAGCAACAGATGAGGGGAATAACTTCTTGACATAACTGTGGTCAGAGAAGATAATCTGATCCACTCTGAAGGCTTAGAAGTCATTATCTAGTGGATGAAAGGGACTCTCCTCTAAATATTTATTAACATATGCTTGGGATACATTTAAAACACATCTATCTGATGGATAAAATTTGGGATAAAGATAATGAAAAAGAAAAACAGTTTTTATTGACAAGAGTGATATTAAACATGCCAGAGGGGGTGCTTTGTATCCCATTCCAACTCTAACAACATCTGAAATGGGCTTATTTAAAGTGATTCCTTTGTCAACTGTGGTTGTTCTGAGTGCAGTCAGTGGCTTCAGTGGCTCCTCTGAGCAGTTTGTCAGGGCAGGGTGGTGTTTCCTGACTGCTTGGTTAGAATCTGCAAGATGATGATTGGAATATGTTGAATGTGAAGCTGGTAAATAACTGTGTTTTATTCCAATTTTGCCATAAATGAGAAGGGAAATCTGAAGCAATGCATTTCTAATACACAAATATAATGAATGGTATATTGTGTGTTATAGCTGTACTTGCCATTTCTCCTTGTTGATAAGAAAATTAATCAGAGAAAAAAAAAATCTGCAGACTAGAAGTTTTCTCTCTCTCCATTTCTGTGCCACTGCTAAGCCTCACAAAAGCCCTCTCCTGGTTTCCATAGAAATGGCTCTTCTGCTGATTTGAGGTAAAGGTTCACTTCCCTTTCTTCTTGTATATCTAAAGTCTGAGTTTCCTGAGAGATTATTTTATTTTCGACATCCTTCATGTATATAAGGACAGCCCAGGTAGAGGGGCTGGTGGAACTGGGGAAACTTCCTCTCTCACAAGGAAAAAATCTGGATTTATTTGACTGAAGAGCAGAGAAAAAAGGCATGTGTGTGTCACTTGTGCATTTCAGTGAATCTGAACAGAACCAGCTCTGTGTGTGCATGTTCCACAACGTGCTCTGGCTCCTAAAACGTCCCTGTGATCCCACCAGAACATCAGCAAGCGGATTTAGGAGATCCTGAGTTAAAGCCAGGCAGATGTGGTCTCAGTTTCTCATCAGGCTGAGTTTTATATCTATTTATATACGCAAGATTTTCTGTATACACTTTGTTTGCATTAGAATACACCCATTTCTTTGAACCATATGATAGAACTAGGAAATATATTTGGGAACCACTCACAGAATGTTTACAGTGGGTAATCTTAATCTGTGTTACAGGATTTTTTCCTAGTTTTGTTTGAGACATTTACGTCTACAAAGATGTCATTCACAATTTAGTTCTGATGAGTGTTATTCTTGGAACTTCCAACAGAATTGCTTTCATGGAGTTACTCTAACAGTTATTTTAAAATAAATGGGGAATAGTCAGGCATATCCTCAACTTTGTTATCCAGTGTTTTGAATCCAGATGATGAGAGCTTTGACAGGTTCTGTCCGTGATGTTCAGTGCATTATCAGTGCTCACTGACACAAAGGAAAGCAGAATTTATTCTGCTGTTTCTGAGAGCAAGGGTTTGATGTTGCTGAAATAAGTGATGCATGATTTTCATAATGCTGTTTTCTGTTCCTGTTCTGCTTTTTTCCCCTTTTTATTACCTTTGCTCCCCTTGACATTTTCAGGAATATTAAATTTTCCCAATAGAGCTGTTCACTTGTATACTAGCAAAAAGGTCATATTAAGAAATTCCAAAGACTAGTACTACTGAAGAGCTTGGGGATTTTTTTAGTGCTTTGGGTTTTCTTTCTGCTTTTTCCAGACTCATCGCTTGTCTTGTAGATACCATTGCTACCTTCTCACCTGCCAACATGGAACAGTAATTAAAGCAAACCCCACTGTGATCATGTCCTTAATTTGGGCTTTTCCAGGAGTGCCCATGAAGTGAACATTTCTTTTGTGGTTGCTCAGTTGCAGGTGACAGCTTCAAAATACCCTCTCAGCTACTTTGGGAGAGTTGTTGCCTTCAGCCCCAAAAAAGTGTCAGGGATAAAATCAATGGCCTGAGACTGCTCCTGTTTCACTTCACATGTTTAAAGATGTCAAGTAAATTCTTTATTTGCTTTTTTGGTGGTTTGTTTGTAGTAACAGTTCTGTTTCCATTCCATTTGTGCTTGAATTTTTGAGCAATAATATGTGCAGTCCTAGAAGATTGAGGTAATACTTATCTTCCAAATTATCTGGCATTTCCTAATGTATGTGAGAAATTCTTACAGTGGAACAAATCTTGGCAGGTTTGGTATATTCTGCATCTGTAACTATTGCTTGAATACAATTCCATAGGGCAGAGATGATCTGCGTTATTTAATTAAATGCACTATGTTGGTTTAGCAACATTATTATGTCCCTTGAGCATTTCAAAGTGTTTTAAATGGTTTTGCTGTTTTCAAAAAGTAGCATTCTTTTCAGTCCATTTAATTGTAAATATTTATTAACATCTATGGTTTCCTCTAATAATATAAATGGAACAAACCAAACACACCCAGATTATTATATTTTCTGCAATAGTACTCTCTTTTATAATCAGTTCTCTTAGTTTTCTGTGTATATGTGTGATCAGACTAGAACTACCTGTACTGAATCTTCAGCTGTATCATTCTTTGTGTCAGTGTCTGAAGCAAATTACCTGCTAGCAAAGATCCCGAGAGATGAATCTTAGCAGCACAAAGTCCCTGAGATTTTTTTCAATAATTAAAGTATTTTGGTTATAGGTTCAGATTTCCTGCTTAGAGATCAGCGCTCTGAAGGCAGATAAATGAAAATGGTCCCTTGAAAAGTTGAGTTTCCAAGGTGAGGGATGGCAATGGTGAATCCATTCTTGTTTTTTCTTTTTTCCTGTTTTGTTTTTTTCCCCTCTGTTCATTCTGAAACCATGACTTGATGAATGTCATTAGGCTGTAATCCATTTATTCCATGTGGTGGTGGGAAGAGAGAATTTGACAGTTCATTTGGACTGAGTGAACCAGAATCACTCTGAGCTGAGCCCCCGCTGCCATCAAACTGCGAGATTTTCTTCTTGATCATTTTTCTCTCTTTCGCTCGGCGATTCTGGAACCAGATTTTCACCTGGGGTGTTATAAATGATACCTGATTAATTCAAAGTGCTGCTCGAATTTTTACAGTAATTATTGCAATGGAAAGGTAGGTAAGTACAAAAACACTATTTAAAAAGCCCAAAGCAAGCAAGCAAAAAGGCATGAGGCAAAAAAGCCCCAAAACCAAACCAAAAAACCCTCCACAAACCAAAATATTGAATTTGTGCAGTGAAATGTTTTTGCATTATTCTGTATTAATTTTTGGCATAATAATCAATGGAAAAGTGATTCTTTCTTGATTTCTTTTTTCCTTGAGCCTGGTGTAAAGTGAACACACTGTTGTATTTAGGAACACAAAAATCAATGCACTCACTGAGACTCAGAGGCCACAGAGTTCATCATTTCAACTTTGCTAGTGTCATAATTTAGGAAGATGCAATTATGGATTAATTGTGAAGATTTCTTTATTATCTGTGTTACAGATTAATCCAAAGCCAAGTAGTGAGGGTTCTTTTTCTTCATTTATGTTGTGATTTTTGTGTGTGTATGTATTCTTATATATTTAAAAGTTTTGATTTGTTTTATTACTGGAATATATAAATAAATATGCATTTTACAGATATATATGTACTATTATATGTATAAATAGATATATCAGCATTACTTAAGTCAGTCAATTTCCCAGGCTTATTGTGCAGGTGAAGGACTTAACCTGTTTAAAATCCACTTTTGATATCTCTATTTTCTTTCCTTATGTGAATGTGTGAATGAGGAGGAACTTCTGTTTGTGTTTTCCTTCTTGCTAACTGTGTTCTTAATTCTCAGTATTTGCTAAAGCCTTTAAGGTGTGTTGAATACAATATACCTTAAAAAATCTCAGTGTTTTATATTTCTTTTTTATTACCTTGCTGGTATTGGCATGAAGAAGCATTTAGCTTTGTCTGTCCTGTGGAAATGCAGATCAGTTATGTATTTTGTCTACATTATACTTGAAGGAACTTCACCAGTTAAAGATGGGGTGGCATTAGGAACAGCAGCTCTGTAAAAGGAAACTGCTGATTTTCTGCGGGATCACTGGTGAATCCAGGCATGTCTGTGTTCTAAGTTAGCCAGCTTGCAGAACATTAATGTGGAGCTTGCAAATCTCTCATAATTACAGTTCTCTGCAAATTTTCTAGTGCAGCTCTATCCTACTATGTGACAAATTTCATCCATTATAAACTTGGTGTTTTCTTGTTCCTGCCTGGGAGCACTCAGTCTGTGCAGTGCACTGTCTGTACTGTTTGGGTCTGGGACTGAACATCACCACACTAAAATATGTTTATAAAATTCCAGTGCTTGATCCTAAAATACCATTGATTGTCTCTGCATTCCTACGCTTCCAGCCTCCATTGGTCCCTCTCTATTTCATGCTCTTCCACAGAGTGCAGAATCAGAGGAGGTCACTGAAAGAGGAACATTTTAAGAGACCTGAATGTGTATACTTAGAACAAAAGCTTGTAAAATTCTAAAAAAAGAAATATCTCTTTTTTATATTTGCCTCAAGGCAATAATCTGATTTTCAAATGAGATGACTAATTCAGCATCACCAAATCTGCCCTTCTCCTCCAGCTGTAGAACCACTGCAGTTCTGGAGGCTTGGATCCAGCAATTATTACATCCACACACTGCAGAGCTGTGCTTGGGGAAGGTGCTCTCCAACACAGGGATTTTAGGGAATTCTCATCCTGAATTCCTCTAGTGTCTGTATGAACACAGCTAACGTAACACAGCTCTGCTCAGGAGCCTGGCTTTATCCAGAGCAGAGATTAAATATGTACTAGGTATGAGTGAAGGCAGAGCTGCTCTCCAAGGAAGCACTTGAACATTCCCTGGATGGATAGTCTTGGCTGCACATATGTGTGGCAAAAAGAGATCCTGACTTGAAAATCCAAGGCTGTAAAACCCCCCAGAATATGCTGAAGTCTGGCAGAGGAAGAATGTGGCCTGTGGAAACTGTGGCAATATATTTGTAACAAAAATCCCCATAGATATCTCGTTGGATTGAGTTTTAACTTTCCTGTCTTTCAGCTGAAATATATCAAATGCTTTGGATTTTTTTGCTAGTCATTATTTGGTGTGATTTCAAGAAGAAATAAAATTATGAATGTTGTAACTATTGGGACCATAGCTGAGATCCCACTATGCTGAAGTATTTAAATTCCAGCTGGCTAGCAAGCTAGAAGGTAAGAAAACTACTTTTTAAAGTATAAATTAATTCCTAATATTGAGTTCCATATAACTTGAGTTTGTCAAATGTGCCTGTTAATAACTGTGGGGTTGTGTAGTGGATTCTCTGTGTGTCAAATGCAGAGGCAGGAGGTGGCTGCTGCTGTCCCCTGGCAGTGCCTGGGCACTGTGGGCACACCTGAGGGTTTCCCTCTGTACCTGTCTTTCAGAGAGTCCCAGGTTTGCTGCGAGTTCTGACTTCCTCCTGATTGTAATGTATCTGTTGCAGTGAAATTCCTTCTCTAATTCCAGCCTCTGGTGATCTGTGTAAACAACCCGGTACTTTTCTTTTGTTCTTGTTTTACCTGGTTAGGAAAGAAAGATTATTCATATATTGAGTTGGATTTTCCATAGCAGCTTGCAAACAGGCATTTCACAGACATTAATTAAACTACAGAATACTTGTATGGGATTATTTGCTGTGGTTAACAGAGGATGAACAGAGGTGCAGGATGAAGTAACAGAGTATTGGTTACCATAAGTGTCTTTCCATCTTTATTTCCCTTTCTCTGTAAACATGTATGTGAAGGTGAAGTTCTTAAGTGATAAACACCCTGAAGCATCTTAAATAATTCATAGCAGTTCCTAATTGGTGCTGGCTATATTAATCTCAAAGGGGTTTAATACTCAGCGAAGTATTTCTGTGTCTATGAGAGCATAAATACCTGGGATTTCAAGACTGAGCTTCAGTCACAATTTGTGCAGCTGTACCGTGGCCTAATTCTTTACCTGAGTTTCTAAAGATTGTTTCTCTAGCATGAAGATGTGTCCTACTAGAAATGTTCTTCCTTTCTTGTGTGGCCATAGGATAAACTTAGAAATTCAATAATAATTTCATTTACTTTTTCTTAAAGGTGCTGAATGCATGTAGGATTTCCTGAGAGTACTCGGTGCTGGGCTTCCCTTTCGAGTTGGAGGTACCTGACAAATTGTAAGATGAAGCAATAAAATCTTGTAAAGGGATTTCAGGATCATCCTCTCTCTAAATAAAAGAAATACTCTTAGATATATTGGATAAATACCGTTAAGAGAAGCATTACTAAATGTTTAGAAGGTATCTCTCATTTAATATAATTTTTAAGCAATTCTTCATGTAATAATAATTCAGAGAGATCAATTTTCAACTTATTTGTTCTCCTTTGCACTTTCAAGAGCCAACTAGATAGTTTTCCTTTTTTCTTCTGATCTTCCCAGGTTTTTTTTTGATGTGAGTTTTCTGGGACAAACTGTAGGACAAAGACTCCTTTAAAGTGGTTCCCTAAAATCCATTGAGGTGTTAAGATGAAGCACACGCCACACAAAGGAGCAACAAGGAGATCTTATCAAGAACCCCTTTCACATTCAGAAACACAAGCCAATTGGTTTGGAATTTACAAGCCCTAAACAAATGTCAGACGCTTTCATCTTAGCAGAGGAAAAAGGGACAGAAATAGATGAAGGAATATTTTTTCCCTCAGTTCTCTTTAATTTTGGACAGACACTGAGGACAGACTGGGATATTTTTATCTGAAGGTAGACATAGCTGAAGTACGCATAATTAGGATTATTTTCTCAAATCCTTACACTTCAACTTCCAGCATAGAAGATTTTCCTGCCAAATTTGCAGAACCAAATCATCCAACTAAATTTACTTTTCTCTTGCTACAAATCATTGGCTTTGAAATATTTGCCCTCAGTGATAGTTCTAATGCTAACAATAGTGTAGATATTCAGGTTCCTTGTAAACTGAGGGCTTAGAGGGAATCTTTGAAAACAAGTTAAAATTCAACAAGGTTATTCCGGCCTCACTATAATCAGCAAATATAACCATGATTTGAGGAGGTGGAGAAAAGGAGTAGTTTTCCCCATTCCCCTTGGTCATAAAATTCACAGAGTATTTCTTCTGAAGACAATAAAGCTGGGAGAAGGCCTCTTTATTTGCTGTGAAAATCATCACCCTTTCCGGCAATATAACTCCTGAAGAAAAGAGGGAGAAGAAAGCAAAGTGAAGTGTTAAAAGGGTCTGTTGCCTCAATATGACAGATAGGCCTCAAAACCTCAGACAATGTAGGCCAGTGGAAAATAGATGTCACAACTAATTTACAAAGAAAAATAAATTAGCATTAAAGCAGGGCCCTGGCCTTTTTTCCTGCTTTTCTGTTTTACCTTCTGGCCATGTTTCTGCTGTTCTGTAATCTGAATTACTTGTACATCACTTTTTGTTTAAACAAAGACATAAAATGTGTTGGCTATAGTTAAAAAAAATCCTGTGGCTGAGCTTGTAACATATGAAAATTGTGTTGATCTTTTGTTTAGTCCTGTTGAAGTCCCTTCTCTTTCTGAGAAGGGTCACTCCCAGATCAAGTTTCATATAAAGTTTAAAACCTTTTTCTGGGCCCCTTAGATACCTTTCCAGTAAGTTTTACACTTGGAAGGTTCTCTTGCTCTCAGAAAATATACCTCTTACCCTGTTGGTTACACAGGGTGTAGAAAATAATCGGAAGTTCTGCTTCAGCATAACTGAAGTCAGTGACAGATTTTATCATAGATTTTCAGTAAAACCAGGATCAGACTGTCAGGAATTCTTTAGATGTTCTTTTCCTCATTTGGAGGGTCTTACTGGGAAGATCTCTTTACCAAGACCACTTTCAGTGTTTGGTTTTTAAAAATTTCTTATTGCCTTGTATATTTGCAGTGTTTGTGTGTTTGAAGTCAAACAAGGGTTGGTTCTGCATATGCAGTTACAGTTTTTTAGTCACAGGATGTATCGTTTCAAATCACGTTTTATCTGTTGAAAGGACAGAGTACTTCTGTCTTTGTGATCTCGTTTCATCCTGAAGATTGACTTGATCAGGTAAATTTTCATTTCACTTTACCTGCAGTTGAATTTTTTTTTGTTATCAAATGCTAAATAAGAATATTGAATCAGAATATAGTGTATTTAATAGAGTCTAAACAGAGAGGAAACAATTCCCACTGACATCCCCTCACTCAAAAGAATTCCCACTGTCTTTAGGACAGTATTTCAGGAGGCTTCCTCATCAGATGTCTCGTGGTTTCTGTTACTCCATCCTGCTCGCTGATGTGTGTACACACTGGTGGAGTTAAGGACATACACATTTATGCATAGAAAAGTCTTTGTAGAGTTTAGGGCTGTAATTCTGGGATTTTAAGGCAACAAACTTTATTAAGCAGTGATAAAATTGAAGGAGAGGAACCAGTAGTTACTTGGATAACCCAAATAATATTATGGCAGTAAGGAAAAACAGCAAGTGTGTTTCAAAGAGGGGTTATAATGGCATCAAGTCAATTTTCTTCTAGAGAAAACATTGGTAAGGTGGTACAAAGCAGTTACATGCATAATTTTAGCCTTTTAATTTATTTGAATTTTCTTCCATTTATCACAATTTTTTCTGTGTCAGGATAAGAATATTAAATTGTTGATGCCTTGAGCTCACTTCTGTGAAGTCCTGGCTGTTTTTAACACTTCAAAGGATTGGGTTCTAGGAATGCACAGCCTCAGGACATGCAGCTATTGATGAGCTCTGTTCCACCTGTCCCGAATGGTTCATAAAGTATTGCAGAACGTCTGTAAATCCTGTGTAAGCACTTTTCAGACTAGAGATGAATTTAGCCCCAAACTGTCTCTGAATTGCAAATCTATTTTATCAATTTGGATAAGCACATGAAAAACCTTTCAGGGTCTTCCAAGACTGTTCAATAAGTATAAAGCAAGGATTTAGATTTTCAAGTGTGTTAGATTTTAACAATGTTATTCTTCAAGAATGCCAGACATTGAAAATTCAGTTCTAACATGACACAGCCAGGGCTGCCTCATTGACATTCAGTAGTCTCAGCTGAATTTGATCTACACTTAAGTCTTGCATCACTTCTCCACCTGGCAATCTCCAATGATGTTAATGAAGTTACTGGGATTTCCATGAGTATACAGGAGGGGGGAAAGCAGACTCAATCTGCCTGACTTTGAAGGTCTTTGTCCAAGGCTCCAAGTGGCAGGAGAGCATTGTGATATCCTCATGTTCACCAGGCATTTTATATTTAGTAACAGAGGCAAAACAATGCGTGCCTGCTTTATAATTAAGAAACAATTACCAGGCTAATTTTGCTCCTGAGTAATAACCATTTGAAGGAGGATTCTGTCTGAAGCAGCAGTGCGGATTTTCTGTGTCTTCTAAGATTACCCCAATTGTAATTGCTCTGCTTTCTTTCCAGCATGTCTTTGATGCTCCCTAACACACACTTACTACATTTAACCTTAACAACAGATTTAGCAAACCTTGCTACACCCAGTTTCCACCTTGGGAATATACATGGAAAGGTTCATCTGGCAGGCAGCTTGTGGCAAGAACAGGCGAATCAGTGAGTTGCACTTGCAGGAAAGAGATTTTTAATTGTGTGATTGTGGAAGCTGAAAAATTCTGTCATGTAAGGAAAGTAAAACTGATATGAAATTAAATGAAAAGGAAGCTTGACCAAGGAATTTTGCAATCTGCAAATAAAATAGTCTATGCTGATTGAGTCAGATTGCTTCTCTAGGAGTATTTGTGCTCACCTAATAAATCTGGGCAGAAAAATATGAGACACAGGAAAATTGCAGAAAATTACATAATCACTGCAGTTATATCAGAGCACGTAGTTTTCTTTATAATTATTGAGAAGTCTGTAAGGTTTAAAAAGATCAACCTGATTCTATATTGACAACTCCCCTGCAGCACAAAATAACAGTGTAGTATTTCTGTCTGTAACTGTTAAATGCTGCTGCATTGCTCATAACACTTTGATGATTATCATATTTATCACAAAAAATGCTTTACAGAATGTTCCAATAGGGAATCCTGGAGCTGAGCTCCAGCCATGTCTGACCACATCATCCATTCCACTACAGCAACCACATAAAGCCTTTATGGGAGAAAGTGAAACTAGCACAAATTTAGTGAAAACTGCATTAAACAGCTGTAGGTTAAATAAATGTCATAAATGACCCACCAACCTATGTGCTTCAAGTAAAGTTAATTATTTCTAAGCTTAGTGATAGCAGAAGATGCTGTCTGATGTTGGAAGTTGAATTTGCACTCACCAGCAGTGTTGGTTTGCACCGTTTTCCTCATCCACTCATAAGAGTTGTGCCTTTGGCTGTTGGGAGAGATTTGCTGCTGGGCATTAATTGTATCTACAGGAGGTAACCCCGCAGCAGCAGCAGCAGCAGCAGCAGTGGGGTGCAGGGAGCTGTAATCAGCAGAGCTGTAGGAGCCCTGCCCGGGGGACGAGCCATTGATGTGGGCAGCGGGCACGGCGCTGGAAGGGCCTGGGCCGTAGGCGCTCCAGTCCTCGCGCTGGGGGCCGTAGTGGGAGCCCCAGGCCGGTGCTGGCTGCCCGTGGGTGTCCAGGGCTGGCACAGGGTGGTATCCCATGTAGTCAGAGTAGGCTGGAGCAGACACGAAGTTTTGCACGGGCAGGTTGTTGCTGGCCCTGGCAGATCCTGGGTACATGCTGGGCTCCTTCTCCAAGAGCGAGCTCACGTACATGGCTGTCCCGGACTGTAAACACAGCGTCACAACATCTTGTTCCTCAATGTCTTCTTTTACTGCCCAAAAATATTTGTGTTGGGTTTTCTCTAGTAATGCCACTCTGCTTGGAATCTCCTACTTCATCCTCTTTTATTATCAACTGTGTTACCAGGTGCTGGTGGTAATGGTTTACCAAGATCTTGTCTGACGTCAGCCCAACTGCCTGCCTCATAATTACATTTACATTCAAATGAAGGGCTGACCAACCCCACCTTGCTGCTGGTTCTGGTGCTTTCTCTTTCAGAGAACTTTTATCTATCCTATTATCCTGCCCTGATATTCCACAGCGATCCCAGTCCTGTAAGATGATGCAACAGTTGCTTGGATTTGTAACTTAAATAGTTAAGTAAATAGATCTTTCTAAAAGAAATTAGAGTGGTAACTATAATAGCAATGTTTAACATTCTTCTTGTCTGAAACCTTTATTTTGTCAGAGATTAACAATCAACAGATAAATCTGTTACTCTCTTAATTTCTCATATAATTAAAGCAATCTCCTTTTTAGTCTTTAATGGATACAGTTAATTTGAATAATTGTAATTCAATAACTTCAAAATATGGAGCACCTTGTTAACAGCATGTCTTGAGTATAACTGTCTCAAAAATGTTCCTCTCATTGTTGATGTTTGTAAGAGGTTTTCCAGAGTGAGAGAGTTTAAAGCTCTGACTGTAAGACACATGTTCACACTCTCCCCTTACAGAGTGATTTAAGAGATCCCTTCATCTGGTGGCTGTTCCAAACTGATAAATTTTAAAAAGCAGACAATAAATCTTCCTAACAAAGATGGTGCCAGAAGTACAAAGAAAATGACTGTAAAAAGTAGTGAAAAAAGTCTTTGATTAGGCCCAGGAATATTGTTGGCTTCTGTTTCAAGCCAACCTTTATCTGCCTGGAGGTTCCTTCCTCTGAGGGTGTTGGCTGTAGTCTGCTTTCCTTGGCAGTTTGGGCCAGGGAAATCAGCAGGGAGAGACATCTGGGTTGTTAAGTTTGTGAATCAGAAGTGCCCTGATGCTGCTCTGTGACACACGGGTGCTCCCTGATATCCTGTTACTAACAGCTTGTTATTAACAGGAGAACTAAACCACACCCTAGGACTTTAGAATTGCCTCTCTGGGTTGTGTAGCTGCAATTTGTGGAGTGAATTCGCTGTATTTTTATTTTGGATGGGTTTCTTTGCAATGAGCTATTTGTAAGGGCTATGCTTGCAAAAGAGGTGCAAATTACAATGAGTTGTTTCCCTTTTCAGAGGTGTGGGTTTTCATTCAGTATCCTTTGTATTTTGACACTGCTCTGTATTCACACATCCCTTCTAATTCCAGCACTAAAGGATTCTAACTGTGTACTTACAGACAGGAAAGATTTTACTCTTCTCTTTAGGACTGGGCTTTTCTTTGGGAAAGAATTTGTACTGAGAAGTGTGTCAAAATCTTTGTAATTAATTTTGGTATATTTACAGAATTCTGCTTTAAGCATTGGGATTCTCAGAATGTTGAGGCAAGTTGCATGGGATAGGGCATGGAAAAAAATAATATCTTCTGTAATTGGTGTACCCTTATAAAAACAGACATTAAAAATAAATGGAAAGATATTCCTATTCCCTTTATCTTGAAAGACACGGAATTGTAACACAATTTTTGAGATCCAGGAGACTTTTTTAGTACTGAATGTCATCCAAATTAAAGAATATGTTTCCTACATCCTTGGAATATTTATCCTGTTTGGGAGCATTATCCCCCAGTTAAATTCCCCAGTATTGCCGAGAGTTGTGCAGGGCTGTCAGTCACAGGCAGAGCCATAGGAAGGGAATGTTTGGGCTCCATTGACTGCATCTGCATCCACTGATAGGGTCTCCACGAACATTGGCTGCTCAGAGATATCAGCTCAGCCCCGTTGCTTGATTTCCCCCAAACACACCATTTTCACATCCCTGTGAATGGTGTAATGTCATATTCTGCAGTAGATGATGGGAACATTTTTAATCCCTGGGGTTCCTCTTGCTTTATGGGACGTCTCTGCACATACCATCACAATTTCAGTATCACTTAATCCTATTTTTTGTATCTCAAAGCGTTATCCTTTATTCTCTGTTCTTCTTTTATCTTTTGTTTATGCTCCTCCTTTCCCTTTCTTGTTTTGCCTGTTCCATTATCTGAATTTTCTTCAGATCTATTTCGATTCTTTCCAGAACATAATTAGATCAAGATACTCCGATGGCAATTTGCTACACTGATTTGATATCAGCTAACAATAGTAAGCTTTGAATAAGGCATTTTGTTTAAAAAGATTAACATAGCAGGATAAGATTCCTCGGGAGGACTGCAGATTTTTAACACCAAAGTGAGAATAAGATAACTGAAATGGCAATGTTCAAATGATCTGCATCTTGGGTCTGATATCTTCTATTTTATGTAACAGAACAGGGTGGAGATATTAAAAAGGAGCTGTACCTTTGCACGTTGTCTTGTAGTTTGAGGCTACCAAAATTTTGGGGCATCTCTGTTTTCTGAGAGTAAATTGTCTGTTAATCTGGGTCTGCCTTTCCAAGGATCATTTCTTGGCCATGCTCAGCTCCTTCCTGCTCAGGCCCAGCATGTCAGCAGCTTCAGAGCCAGAGAGCCACTGAACCTTCAGTGCAGTAACTTAGGCTGCAGTTCCATGGGCATTTCTGGTGGGCATGGCTTTCAGGGAATACAAAAGAGAAGGGGAAAAAGAACTGGAATTGCCTTGGACTGTGTGGGGGATGGCAGTGGGTGGAGTAAAGGTTTGGTGTGCTCCTGTGTAAAGTGCTGGTGGAACATGGGCCCTCTTTGGGCTCTCTGGGGTGGTGGGGAAGTGAAAACAGTTCTGAGGCAATGAGCTGGACGTCCAGAAATCTCAGCTTTTTGGAGATTGTTTGTATTTGCACCATTTTCTGTGGTGGATAAAGGCAGAACGGGGCAGATCTGTGTGGCACCAGCAGCAGCAGTGATGTGCTCCTTGGCAGAATTCAGAGAGATGGATTGCCAAGAGAACTGAACTCCAAGGTTGTTTTCATTCTTCACCTGTTCAAACGCCAGGTGTAATTTATCTACTAAACCAGCGGCCATGGGAGTTGTCTCCGTGGTTGTTAAAGTTTTATGTGTGTTAAATCAAATGTACTTTGAGATTTTTGGGGAAGAAAATCTTCCAGTTTTCTAACAAGCGGTTGATGAAAAACTACCAATAATATCAAGTGTGGTGCTCACCATTGGGACTCTAAGGGGTTTGTTTGTACAGGCAGTGGAGATGGTGCACTATTGTATGTGAGCTGTTCTAGAGAGCAATTCCACCCCAGTAATAATAACATAATCACAAACGTGCAATTAAGTGTTTTAATGACAGCTATTAAAACTGCAATTTCAGGGCTACTGGTACTTTAAAACTTGCCTGTAGAATGATAACTTACATTAAAGGTGTTTACAACTCTGATAGTTTTTATTAGGAACCCTTACTCATAGAATTACTCTTCCTTTTATATGGAGATAAGAAGACAATAATCTGCCTGTCTTCGAAGCGTGAAGATGATGTGAAATCTCTTGTTTTGGAGAATCAAAAAGCAGGTGAGCTGAATGTGCCCCCTTTGTGGCTCAGGTGATAGGAACAGATGTTTGTTTTCTTGCATCCAGATGACCAGTCCAGTAATACTGCAGGCTTAGGAATGCTCCTTGCCCATACTTAGAGAGCTGCATGCTTGGAATTTCATGCTCAGGACTTTGTTAAGGAACTCTGTATTGCTGTTTGTTCTAATGTGTTTATTTTTTGGAGGTGTTACCGACCCTATATTCAAGCTGGGTTTGCATGCACATTCATTCCTCCTGAAATTCATAGGCAGCTGTAGGAATACTGAGGAAAGGTCAGTCATGACAAGGTTTGCTGGCAGCTGAGGGCAGTTCTGTTGGGAAAAACCCAGCTAGTGATGAAGGAAGGCAGATGGGTTTAAAATCTTAAAAAACAGCTAAAGAGGTGGCTTTTGCTTTTACTGAAGGTTTGACAAACACAAAGCTTCTGAAAAATTTATTTGCCCTTTTTCATTGGGCTTTTTTAATATCCAGAATCCTACTTAGGTCTCATTTTGAGGGCTTGAAATGCAAGCATGTGCACATGGCAGATGTGGCAGAGCCCAGAGAGCTGAATGAGCAGTGCTGACTGAGCTGTTCTCACTTGCTCAACTGAATCTTCTGGGGAAAAGGAAGAAGGGGTATAGCACAATTTCAGTTCTGCCCTGTGTCTCTGATCTCTGCTGGGGATTTGGTTTCCATAAGAGAGCAACAGAAGAAATAAAGGTGCCAGCTGTCTGTGAAGCCTTCCTCAGTAGTAATAGGTTTAATTTCATGCTCTGAAGTTTTGGTTGTTAACAAATCCTTTTGAAAAATGATGAAAAGTGGCTGGTACAGAGCTGATTGTATTTACCCTTCTGTCTACCCCACTTCTGTGTCTCTAACTGCTGCTAACAGCTTATCATTCATTTCTGAATGTTAAAATGTGTTTTATTAATATATTTAATGGATAAACTGCATCAGTTTAGCCAGGAAGAAATGGTCTGAAGCTAAAGGAGGCTCTTAATATTCTGAAATCAAAATCATTTAACTTCTGTTTCAAAATCAATACTGACAGAGATAAGATCACTCCTTATTGCTCCACAAGCAGCTTGAATTCAGCAGGACATACAGAGCCTGTGTGTGAACCCCAGGGTAAATCAATTCTTTAGCAGAACCATGAAAATGATCAGCAAATCCTCGTTTTGCCATTGATTTGGTTCCTTCCCGAGCAGTTCAGAGCTCCTGGGTACTGAGCTGATCCCTCCTGCCCAGGTGTGACTGGCTGAGCTGTTGGGCGCTCCCTGTGAATCCTTCAGGCCTTATTTGGTGTGAGGTTTCTTGCAGGAGGTAACAAAGGAATCGATTTTTTTTCTGCTGCTGGCAGCCTGGCATTTCTACCCCACACATTTAACTCTGGGATTACTGTCCATGTCAAATTTCTCCTGCCTTAGAGGGACTCTCTTGTGGCTTAGATGACCAAAAGCATCCAGGTGTATCTTAATTAATCCTCTCCATTTACTGTGAGACATTTAAGAACAGGTTTATTTTTCAGAGAATTGAAAGAATCTGTGCTCTTTGGGTATGAAAACAGGTGGCAAACTTTTTAATCCTAAAACCCGTGCCTATTTCTTTACCTGGTGAGTTTTGCACAGTATTGTGTCCAACTAACATGCAGTGCCATCTGAAATGTGACTGTGAGTCATTTTTAGGGATGTGTCATTTCAGTGCCCCTGGACTGCCCCAGCAAACCAAACAAGAAAGCTAAAGCAGAAATCTGCTTTTTAATTTTTATGGTAACATCCACAATTAATATATTATAATTATATATAATATATATAATAGTTAATATATTTTTGAATCTCCTTGGTGAGAAGGTGACAAATACTTGATGTTCCCTCCTCTGTCCCTTAATGATTGCATAACTCCGAAGCAAGAACTGAAGATTTTGTTTTAGAAATACCATTTTGAATTGTATATTTTGCTTAGTTTCAAGAAGATTTGGTAGAAGGTGCTTGATTGTTTACTTGACTTTTTGGTACCATCTAGATCACAATTCTAGCTGGGAAACAGAGTTTAAAGTTTAGTAAATTCCTCTGAAAATTGGATATTCCTTGATACTTCTTTTAATCACAATTAGGATTAAGGGCTTAGATATTCCTGTGATGTAGCCTAAGGTATGCTTTTCTTCTTCAAGGCACTTCCCTAACAACCAATCAATCTTCCCAGTACTCTGCTTTAGTGTCCTGAGTTTTCAGATGTGATAAAAGTGATGAGTTATTTGATACACCCAAAGTCAGAAAGAAAGTATTAGCCTGAGGATGGCACCAGCAGTTCATAACCCACAGTGCTGCACCCAAATAATTTCAGCTGATTTGTCTGCAGTTTTCTGTCCCTTATTTGGACAGAGTACAGCAAGTTAACAGCACTGCACAAGCTTCTTAGAGAAAAATCACTTCCTTTGGGGTTTGGTGGGCAACTGTTTAAAGGATTAGAGCCCATTGGAAATACTTAACTGGAGAGATTGCTGGGAATTCTTACCAAAAAATCGAACTACTTTAAACAGCCACTGGCATAACTAGAAGGTTAATAATCTCTAAGCTATTGCCCTGGTTTATAGATACTGCTTTTGGAGCAATAAATTTTAACCTTTGAACATGTTCTTCTGCAAATAAAATCCAGCCTTATTTTGTGTACTTAACAACTTCTGATTGGAAACACATAGCAACCTATAGCAAGCATGCTTTCAGCAAACTGGGGCAGAAATGAAGCAGATCTTCAAAGTGGTCACTTATCTTCCCCAATAACTCTTCTACATGTAAACAAGATAAACCAGGTCGCTCTGCCAGATCCCACTCTCTTTGAATGATGTTTAAATAATTTTAAAGAGAAAGAAGTCGTGTTCAGGCACATTTCTTAAAGTTCTTCCTTGAAGTACTTTTTTCCTTTTAGAAATGTTAATGCAGAGTTGAGCTGTGTCATGAAAATGTGACTAAAATAAGTAGCTGTGTACTTGATTCTGCAGAACCCTGGGGCCAGGCTTCTGATCACTTAGCTAGAACTGGGTCTCAATTTATTGTATATCAGTGCAAAAGACTAAGTTTCCCTCTGTATTCTTACCTTTTGAAAGTCTAAATCTGGATTTTTTTAATCGTTTTTTTTTTTCTAGTCTGCAAGCACAATCCCATTTAACTGGTCAATGTGGGGATACTTTTCCTGTTGAAGCTTTTCCAGTTTCTGTTAAGTGAAATATCTGTGCATATGTGAATAAAATATCTTAACATTTCCCTCTGCCAGAACAGTGGCTGTGCTATGTATTTCCAGTGGATTCCTCTTTTGGGTAGATCCAATGGCTCTTTATTGGGAGAGCAGTTTGGCTGCAATGCTCATTGATGAGGATGGGAAATCCCTTTTGTTCCCGTGTGCTCTTTGTCATGTTCCTCTTTTCCTACCATGTGGAGATCAATTGGAGACTTTCTGTTACTGAACTTTGAGTTGCAGCTCCTTCCTCTCCCCTCTGCTAGCCATGCTGTTGGCAGCAAACAGAGCACCACTGGGACAGGAATGAGTGGGAATTTTACAATGCACCTTCCCCATTTCATCAAACTCTACCTTTGTTTAGCACTGTCCTTCTTGCAAACAAAATGATAAATCAAATTACTGAGGAGTGAAAGCTGCCATCTCCCTGAACCATACTGCTCTTCCCAAGCTCCTCTAATTTCTCTGAGCTCTTTTACCACCACTTTTAAATTTGATATTGCAATTTAAGAACAGACTAACCATGAAAATCTGCAGGTTCACTTGCTGCGGTAGCTGATACACATTGCAAAATAGTTATGAAAAAAGACATTTATTTTAATGTTCTTTATATACAATGTCATTTCACATCGCCAACATTTTGATACTCTAATAGTACTATTTGTTATAATTAAAGAACAAACCCAAGAATGTAGTGCCTAAATGACTTACTGCTCCTAAGTCTTTTTTGCAACAATGACAGTGAGATTTCAGGGGATACCTTGATGGAGATTACTGAGGATAGACATCCTAAATTTCTAAACTGCTTTGGACAATGAGAGTAGAAATTCCCAAATCACTCACGTGCTCTAAACATTTTTCTTTTGCAGACAAAAGTTTTGCACATGCAATTTGGAATCATATTGGGGAAATAAGTATCCAGATTATTTTTAAGTACTGATTACCTGGCAAATTCTGCTTAGTATGGAAGGGATCAGCCCTTCAGGAATTGAGACCCACTTGAAAAACGCTGAGAGCTTTATTTCAAGTGAAGTATTTTGTTTGCTTTTTCTTCTATTAATTTGGTTTCTCAAATTTTAGTAGTGTCACAATAGCTCATGAAACTGTACCAGATTTAAAACTGGTTGAATGCAATTATTGCATCTTTATCCATGGTCACTGCTGTCTCAGGAAATGCAGCCATTTTTCCAAACATGCTTTTAAAAGGATTTCTGCCTTGCTTTGCTCTTTCTTTTGGGATCCAAAATGAATCTGACATGAATTTTCTTTGTCCAAATATGAACTTGGGCCAAGATTCACAATTCCAAAATGCTTTCAAAACATTTATAGCAAGATCAGAGAGTGCCTGTGTATGGAGCATTGGAAATCATACCTGTCAAACCCCAAAAAATTCCAAAAAGCTCATCCCTGACCTTTGCCCTTAACGTGTAGTGAGTGCAACCACCCAGCTCCAGGCTTTCCATCAAGTGGCTCAAAACACATCAGCCAGGTTTGCATTTCTCAAGATGCGTGTGTAAACTCCACAAGTGGGATCAGTACATGGAACCTGTGTGGAGATCAAAGGAGCAGGAATATTCTCTTTCCCTGGGGGCGAGGGACACTCAGGCACAGCTGCCTCAGCAGTGTGGGATTGATTACCTGGGGCAAGTTTTGTGCTTTTTTTTTGTGTGTCTGCAGTGGAACAAGTGGCTGTGGCCGTTCCCTCCCTGTGCCAAGCTGCTCCCAGGCCGGAGGGCTCCTCGCCTCGTGGCACAGGCATCCTCTTGCCGAGGGACTCCTGCAGTTCCGTGGCCCTTGGCAGCTCGTGCTGTGCTGCACACCTGGCAGGTGGCTCTTGGTTTAGTGTCCTTGAAGCTGTGTCACGCTGGGGACCCCCCCTGGGTCCTGTAGTGCTCCGGTACCGGTCCGTGGCTCTCGCTCACTGCGAGGCCACCACCTGCTGCAGGGTCCCTCCGTGCTGCAAAGCGCTCATGGGGAGAGCAGCCGGGGCAGGCGGCGCTGGGAATAAAGAACCGGCCATTTCCGAATGAGTCTGTGCGTCAGGACCTGGCATCGGGCTCACGGAGCCAGAGTCACTCTGCAGAGAGCCCAGACCGCTGCCATCAAAGTGAGTCATTTTCTTCTTCATTAATTTTCTCTCTTTGGCTCTGCGGTTCTGGAACCAGATTTTCACCTGCAGGGGAGCAGAGGAAAATTGTTTTCAGTTGGTACCAAACTGAATGTGGTCCTTTGTGTATTTAGTCACAGAATCATAGGGAAATTCAGTGGCATGAGGAGCACTGAGAAAGGCAATGACAAACTGAGACAATAGAGCTGTTTGCTTGTTTGTCATACAGGTAATCTTTCCTATCTAGTAATAAAATATTTATTAAAAGATTGAGAAAAAGTGAATTTTGTTGTTAGTTCAGTTATTTCTTTATAGAATGAGCTTTGATTTATTTAATTTTTTGAAACAAAATCTAACAGAGCAGAATCTCATGTGCCCTAGTCATTGCCAAAATTATGCAAGGGTATTGTTACATTGAAAACTGTATGCCCTAGTCAGGGCAAGCCAAGATCTGCTATTGGCCTATAAATGGAGGCACAAAAGCTTTCCTGATTGGATGCTGCATGTTAATTAATGAGTTCCAATGTGGAAGCCAGTGGAAATTCACTTCTGAGCAGAATTTCACCAGCAATACACAACATTAATTCAAAATATTGTCTTAGCAGTGAAGCCAAGTGCCTTCTACTTCATTTGTGAATGGAGCCAGAACCTGCTGCTGCTTCCCACACAATCCAGTGCCACCAGTGTCCCTGCCCTGTCACAGGCACACAGGAAGGAATGAAGGACCTGCTGAAGGTGGATCTTGATCGGGATGGGACAAGTGAGGACGTGAGCTGAAGGTGAGCAGTGGTCAGCTGAAAATACTGCAGAGCTTGTTGAGGTGTTCTCAAAGTTCTGTGGTAACTGCACTGGCTTTGGATGTGAATCCCCAGGGTTGGATTTAAAGCTGTGCTCTCCAGCCGTTTATCCTTGGAAGTGGCTCTGGATCACATCTGGACAGTGTAATAAGTCAAGCTACCTCATTCAGGTTTGTTGTGTTTTGTTGTTCAAACAGCAAAGGAAACACTTCTGTCACTGTTTTCTATAACCCAAAGGAAAAAAATCAATATTTTGCTAAGAAATATTAGTCAGTCTGGTTATCTTTTTGATGGAAACTAGAAAGGGAAAGAGAATAATGATTGGAAAGGAGGTAAAACAGTGAGAGGTGATAACACTTGTGGCTACCAGGTTGTGTTTTAAAAGAAAACCACTGGTGAAGCCCAGCAAAACATCTTAAATACTCTCTGTGACAATCTCTGGGTGCTTCTCCTTGTGGCATTACAATTCCATTTACAGCTGAAGGATTCAAATACCTGCAAAACCCATGTAAATTTAAACCAGGTCTCTTAAGTCCCAGGCTGCTATCTGAGATGTTTGGCAGGTCCTTTTGTTGTCTTAGTTCTGGAATATCATTTCAGTACCAAATTATGTTCCATTAAACCAATCTCAAGCCCTCTCTTGCATTCTGACTGTGCAAAGATAATCCCGCTTTTCTCATGCATTTGCCAAAATGTATGAAAAGGTGAAACAGTCTAAAAACTAAACCAATATTTCAGAATTGCCCTCTGGCTTCAGTGTTCTTACCTGCCTGTGAATTGAGGGGTTTTTTTTGTTGTTAAACTAGGGAAGCAGATCTGCAGACAGAAATCAGTAGGCACTTCAGGGTTGTGTGCCAGTTATCGAATACATCCAAGTAAGAACAGGTCTGTAATGTCAGACTAAAAGCTGACAGGGCCAGTTGCATCTGTCTGACTTATTCTTTACCTGTTACCCTCCTTCCTTTCCATATTCATTTTTCCATGCAAATCTCCTCCCCTGAAGTCTGATTTTCTCTCTTCTTTCTCATCCTTGTCTCCTTTATTTCTGTATCCTTCCTAAGTTAACAATGCTTCATTTTGCCTTTCTTTTCTTAATTAGATATTGCACCTTTCCTTCCTTGTTTAAACAGTTGTTCTTTGTCCTTTTATGATATTCCTTCCAGGCAATTTTGGATTTTAGCAGAAACAGAAAAACAGTTTTTCCAGAAAATCATTTGAGGTTTTAGGTGGTGTGCAGAGGAATTTGGGATAGAACAGTGTGTGTTCAGCTGTGCTCATATGATAGAGTTGTCAGGTATTTCTTACTTAATCTTCCATTTTTAAAAAAACACCTCAGAGATGTAGGTTGTATAAACTGGAATTCATTTTGTTCTTGATATATTGATGATGAAGAACAAATATTGCAAAAGCTGTTGCCAAGTTTCCCCAATATATACAAAGAAATTGATCATGTATTTTTGTTTCACCTCTTCAAATATACTAAAAAAAAAAAAATCATAGGGAATTATCACTGAGCTAGGAAGTTTCAAGTAAATGTCACTGGTTGTTTACAGAAGCAGGGCCATAAGATTAAAATTCAGCATAACTAAGTCAAATGATGAATGTTTTAACAGCCAGCAAAAAGACATATAGTGTATTCTTTATACCTGGCTGAAACAATTTTAATTTTCGACAATTCAGTCCTTGCATTCAGCAGATTGATAAATTCAGCAGCCGATTGAGGAATATTTGCAAAATGGGTGTTTGCTTCTCCATTAATGTGAGCTCAGCGTGTGATCCAGGTTCAAGTTGGATGGTCAGTGCTACAGCTGGGTGGGTTCTGGGCTATTCCTGCTCAGCAGAGCTCATAAAACAATGGTGAATCAGTCCTAATCATGGGATTGTATTTTGATTTATCTTCTGGGAACAGAAGTGGAATTTGGAGGGCAGGAAATGGGGCAGGAGAAAGAAGTAGCACGTATGTAGGAAATCTTTAACAAAAGGTACAAGGCAGCCAAGGACACAAAACCCTTCAAGTGTCCTGAACATACTTGAGCTCATCACTTCCATCTCCACTAAGACCGACCTTGTTGGGTTTGGTTATGGAATTCCCACTGACTTCAGCAGAACCAGGACTTCTGCTTTAGAAAGTTCAGCATGAAATTCTCCCTGCTACCACAGCCCAGAGAGAAATCCAGGCAGGATTTTGATGATGTGGTTTAACCCATGTTTCTCAGAACGGGAGAAAGTTGGTGTTTGCATTTCCTGTGTTATTGCACAGCTCTAGTTTGGTTCTACTGCAAAGGAAAAATCAGTGTTTGGTTACTCGAGGCATTAACATTTCTGTGTTCTTTACCATACAGTTATCTCCTCAGCAGCAATCATAAATTCAAAGGAAAGCCTGGGTGGGTGATCCATACTCTACCTGTCTCTCGGAAAGTCTTAGGTTTGCAGCAAGTTCAGACTTCCTCCTGATTGTAATGTATCTGTTGTAATGAAACTCCTTCTCTAATTCTAATCTCTGATGATCTGTGTAAACCACTCGGTACTTCTCTCTCGTTCTTGTTTTACCTGTTTTGAAAGAAGAACACATTGCTTCAAGCTAGAATTTTTTCACCTTAGTAACACAAAATATCTGGCTTTAAGTTTGAAAATATCTGCGGGGATTTTAGGCCTGGTTCTCCACGCACTTACCCAGAGTAACTCCCTTGACTCAGTCTTGATTTACAATACAAGAGGTTCATACCATCAGATATTAGGTTTGCTCCTTAGTAAATAGATAATAAACTGCTTCTCATCTTCTTTATCACCCCGTGTTATCATTTGGGAAAGGGAAGGCATTCCTGGTAAGAATAAGGAGCCAGGAAACCTGGATTTTGTCCCCAGCTCTGTTGCGAGCTTCCTGCCTGGTGTTGAATTGCTCTTGTCTCTGTCCCTAGAGCTGATGCTCTTACCTTCCTCGGAAAATTGTGAAGGACATTTTACTGCACAGAAAATACTGAGAGATTCCACAGTTCCTCACTTCTTGTTGCTAGAAAAATTCCTACCACGTTGTGATTGTTACTGCAATTTGGAGGTTGTGTTGTCAAGTCTGCCACAATCTGCCCACGACCTGATAACAGTGACATAGATTTTCAGATGACAGTTCATGAAACAGTGAAAAGGCAAGCAATTCTACTTCACAATGGGCAGGGAACTGCAGCATCTGCTGTTTTGGGAGCAGCACTGCTGCCTCCCTTCAGCTGTGGGTGCAGCTGAGTGGAGCAGACACAGCTCAACAGCATCCAGAGCATTAAAAGGCAATGGCAGATGACAGGAGCCAGGGAACACAGATGCAAGGAGCTGAAATTTTATGGATTCCATACGGGGTCATTTCTGAGGACAGAATGTGTGGCTGCTCTGAAAGAAAGCTGAGAATGGGAAAGACTGCTGCTGGTTCCCTTCCTCTGTGGCTTATGCTCATATTAGGCAATAACCAATATACTGGAGATCAGCACCTGCTTAAAACCAAAGCCTGAGCTCTTCCCACATTTTTGGGGGAACATAAACACATTATTGTGTTGAGACCAGTGTTATCTTTGCTGACCACAATCATTTTTTGATGCTTCCTTGTTTACCTGTTTACCTGTATTTCTATGGACATTCCTTCAGATGTGCACATTTAGCCAGTGAATTGTCTGGGACAGGGAATATATTTTCAGTATTTTTTTGCTCTGTATCTCATTGTGCTGCTGGAGGTTGTGAATCTGTGTCCTCAGTTACTGCAGCAGAAGAGCCCCCTCAGGTTCAGGTTCTCTTGGGTGATGCAGAGAACTCGAGGTGTTTGTACCTTACCCATCTGCAATTGCTGCAGGTGTCGTGTGCCTTTGCACAGCAGCTCCTGTTTGCTTACAGAGCTTTTCCTGATGAGGTTATAGGGATGCCTAACTCCTCAGAAAACAGGAACAAACCCCTAATAATTACACTCTAATAAGAGCAGTTAATTTTGAACGGGGTGAAATAGATTCTCAGGCATGGGGTTGGTAAAATTTTAGTGTCTGAGTAAATCCCAATGGCACAGAACCCCAGAGCCACCAGCTTTCCCTGGCTGGAGACAGGAGCTGGAGAGATCATCCCTCAGTGCTGCCAAAGGCCTGATTCCCACCCAGCCCCTCCTTCCCAGTCCCCTTGCTTTTGAAGTTTCATAGCACCCAAAGAACAAAATTCAGGGTACAGAACTACAGCAGAATCTCGGGTTAATGTTTTTCCTCCTTCTGTGGAGGGACATGTGGTGTCTCTGTTTTTTATGGGACATATTTGAAGTTAGCATTTCCTTCCACTTGCCATGCACACCATATAGGGTCACTTTCACCTAGCCCAGTATTTGACAGTCAGGACTTTGCTATTTCTACAAAGTTTTGGCTCACCAAACTATTGCTTGCATTAGAAGTTTCTTCAGGCTCTGCTCCTCTTAGGACTATTTGTGTAGATCCCAGAACCAGAATTGGTGAGCACTGGAAGTTCTGGGCAGTGTAATGCTGTAAATAAATCCTTTTATATCCTGGATGGGGATGGTTCTGGTTCACCCTACAAGACAGGGGTTCTCTAGGACTCTCCCCAGGCTTGTAGCACCATGTCTTCATCAGATTTGGTCCTTCAGCTTCTATATTCCAGCCCTGAGGGAGCATCAATAGTGCCTTTACAATGCTCTGGGCATTATCTAGCTCTTCTTAAGGCCATCAGCCTGAATTACTTGGAATATTTCAATAGGGAAAATAGATGTGGGATTGCTCCTTAGGCTGTGGGTTCTGTTCAATCCATACAGCCAAACTCCTTTGAGTCAAATCTGTTACCTTCCTGAAGGTGCTGCCTGGCTGAGGAAGATGTACAGGACATTCTCATTCTCTGGCATTTCCACCACTGTGAAACTGCAGTGGAAACAGAATTATCCCAGTGAGGTTTACACTGATAATCAAGTGAAAAGTGCTGCTAATTTTACAACATTAAGGTAAGAATTGTAGAGTCTCTAAGGAACAGCAGTGATTCAGTTCAGTCCACATAAATACCAGGACATTTGTTTTCCTTCACTAGAAGTGTAAATTGTTTGTTTAACATATGGTCACCTGTGGTGCTTTAAGGCCTCACTTGATATTTTTTAACTTTTGATCTCTCTAACTGGTGGTTTGGTTAAGGGTTTTTTTCCTCTTCAAATGAGAATTTAGGGTCATTCTATGGGACAAAATGTTTAACATGTTTCCTTAGTGTCCTTTGTGTTGTTAAGATGGAGTACACAAAGGAGCAACAAGGTGATCTTATCTTGACCTCTATTCTCATTCAGAAGGCACAGACAAATATCAAATGTTCCTCTATTGCCAAAACAAGGTGGTAAACTTCAAGAAAAAACTTCCTGTTTCTGGTTTTAAGTGCTGAAACCCTCATTACCTGAATAGGAGAGGGCTGTGGTTTTGTTTTTTTTTTTTCCTTTTTTAGCTGAAGAAGAAATTAAATGTACACGGAAAACAGAACTTTCTCCCATAAGATTCTTTATTTCTGTATGAGTAACTCTTTTTTTTTTTTTTTTTTTTTGTGGAATTGATAATATCTGGATTCTTTTTGAAGGAAGATTGGGAGCTTTGACATCTAATTTCTTTCTTAAAGTAAAGAAAATAATTTAAAAAGTAAAAAAAGCAAAATTAAGGAAATGCTGAGAAATGCTCTGAGAAAAATTCTCTGATGTATCACATAAATCTTGTCTTCAATAATTTGATTTTTTTTTTTCTGTGTAGAATAATACTGTCTGTGATAGACAAGAGACAGTGGGAGCTGAGATCTGCCAGTCTTGCAAGAGATACTTTCAGCTCTGGCAGAGCCACGTTTTAGTTTGTTAGGCCTTTGCTCTCCTTGATGTCAGTGAGAGTTTCCTACAGCCTTTGTTGGATGCTGGGCTGGAATTAGTCTGCACATGGCATTTCCTTTCAAAGGCAAAGCACACTTTTATTTGCCAGAGTTAAAAAACAGCAGCAACAGAGCCCATCCCTAAACAGTTTGGGACTTCAGCTTCTAAATTCCTTCTTTTAGACAGAGCAGAGCCACTCTACTGTGTTCTGCAGACCTACTGGCTTTAATTTTAATTGCATTTTAATTCCAGGAGAAATATTACCTGAGTAAAATTTGAGGTGGGACTGATGGAGTCACCCCATAGACAGTGGGAGGATATTCTTCACTTCTCAGGCCATAATAGCAGAACTGAATGATGCAATGATAAAAGTCCTTGTATTAATCCAATTCCTTTGTGAAATCCTGCATATTTTCCTCACTTAGGTGAGTGAAATAACCAACATTTGGCTTTGTACCATCTCAACTGATCTTTTGTTAGTGACAGGTTAAAATCCTCATCAGTAATGCTGTGTTAGTTCTCTAGGGAGAATGTTGTGGTGTGGACAGTTGTACATGGAATTGTGGTTGGAGAGGTTATTGGTGCTCGGGTGGAAGAGAAATGAAACAAAAGGGTTTTGAAGCAGCCACCTTTGCAGCCTGCCTGACTTTGTGCTGGGGGAGTGGATTTCCTGGGTTTAATGAGCTATGTAAGAAAAGGGAGTTTTATCAAAACCCTCTTTTGCACAGTGACTACTGGGGAGTGCCTTTGGGCCAGCAAGAAATCAGATATTTCAGAGATGGGATCTTTTCGTGGGATATAGTTTAACAGTGCTGTTCCATCACACCCACTCTGGCAATTTTTGTGACTGGGCAAGTTTTGAGTTGGGGGAAGGGAACAGCTTTCCCATTGGTCATAAAATTCACAGAGTATTTCTTCTGAAGACAATAAAGCTGGGAGAAGGCCTCTTTATTTGCTGTGAAAATCATCACCCTTTCCGGCAATATAACTCCTGAAGAAAAGAGGGAGAAGGAAGAGACAAGAGTGCATATCAAAGCAAAGTGAAGTGTTAAAAGGGTCTGTTGCCTCAATATGACAGATAGGCCTCAAAACCTCAGACAATGTAAGCCAGGAAAGGAAAAAAAAAAAACCCACCATCAGACCTCACAACTAGTTTACAAAGCAAAATAAATTAGCATTAGAACCAGCCCTGGGCCCTCTTTCAGAGCCTCCTCTCTCAACTTTTCAGGAATATTCTGCAGGCACTGAAACCAGCATCTTTCATAAAATCCAGAAGCTGCCTGAAGAGGTCCTAGGATAGGATAGTGTGGGATTGCAACCTGGATTCCAGGGTTCAGCAGTGTTTCAGAGGAAGTTATGTCTGTCCTTGGTGACTGGATGTTACCTTAAATCATCCCAGAAATGTGAAACAGCTTCTGGATGTGCTCAGTTCCCACCTGCATCTCTTTGTTACTTTAGTATTAAAAAACTGATGGTAATTTTTGAGTTTATGAAGATACAAACTGACAGAGAGCAGGCCTCAGAGTTTTGTTTAGGACTCTAACTACTTACGTACTTTAAAAGTGTAGGAAAAGTAAGGGGCGGATTCTCCCTGACTGAAGTCAATAATTTCACTGACTTCATTGAAGTTGTGAAGCAAAAGTATTTTTAAGTAAGTTTTGAAGTCCAATATTATGCTGCACATGATGTTCTGTAAAGCTAAATTAAAATACTCCACCAGCCACTGTATTAGAAAATGTGACATAGATCCAATCCTGTATAATATTTCTGACAGAAACCTTGGTGTGATAAGTAGGTGTCCTGGTCCGGTGCATTACTGCAAAGTTAGGTGCTAAAGGTTTGTGGAACTCAGTGAAATTCTGTGTTTGTATTCTCTGCTGCATCTAGCTCATCTGTTCTTTAATACATTATCAGATTGTTCATGCTGAAGAAAACAGAATAGAATCATAGAACTGAATTTCAACAGACTTGAATTTTCTCTCGTTTTCAATTTTTAGAGTGTTCTGCTATTCTGGAATAAAGCTCATTGGCCAAATTCTGTCCTTCCCTTTGCTGGTGTAAACTTTTCTATTCATCTTCATCACACAGAAAGAACTGGACCAGAAGCAGAGCCCTTTTTATTCTCTTTAAGCAATGACAGAAGCACCCAACCTGCAGAAAATGTAGGTGAATTTCTGAGTGGCAAACCAGGGGAAATCCCATTGCCAATGACTGTATAGGTTAAAAGGAAAGTGATTAACTGAGATTTTCACCAGGTGTTGCATGTTCTTTAGCATTCAGCATTTTAGAGGAATGACCTCTAAAAATTATTGTTCCTCTTCCTTAGGTTTGAGGGAATATAATTTCTTCCTTCAAAGACTAAGTGTGATATATTTACAGTGCCTTTAGTCAAGATGTTCTCAGTTCTCCTGTCATTAGCAGCAGAAAACTGTCTTTATGTCTGCAGAGTAAATTTGTATTGAAGAAGAATGATAGGAGAGTTGTCATCTACAGGAAAAAAATCTCTCCTCTGAATCAGTTCACCTGTTTCAAAACTTGTCCCCACCCTGTTTTATGGTAACATAAGTGCAGATCTTAAGGTGCACTTTCAGCTTTGTGAGCAAATTCTCCTGGGAGTTCACTGCTCAAACTCAGTGTTTTGAGCACACTTTTACCACAGGTGTGTGTTGTTTTCTCACACAGTCATAAAGTCAAGTCTACTCCTGTGGAAGTGATGACACAGCTCCATAAAAATCCTGAAATCAACAGGATGAGATCTGTAGCTTCTTTTAAGGTGGTTTTAGTCTACTTTCCATGAAAGAATTTGCCTGTAATTATGTCTTGTGTGTGTGTGGAATTACCACCTCACATTTCTAGCTGTGGCTTTGTTCAGTCTGAGTTCCAATTGCTCCTTGTCCTGGCTGTGCTCACCCTCTCCAAGGGGAAGCTGAGGATTCAGGAGCAGTGTAAGGCTTAGAGTCTTTTCTCACAGTGTTTGTGGCTGAAAATCCTGAGTACTCAGTGTTTCCTCCTTCAAGTGTTCTGAATCAAAACACATCAGCTTTTTTCCTGTGTCCTCAGCACCCTGAGGAGTGCAGAGACAGGGTGCTGGATTCTGTGTGCTCTGATTGAGGATCCAACCCCAATTCCTGCAGTGCCAAGGCACAGACAGACACTCAGCCATCCTTCAGGATGTATGAAAGCCTCAGCAGGACTTTTCTGCAGGAAATACATTTTAGTAGTATTAAATCAGGATGATAACGTCACATTAAATAATGAGATCATCCAGAGGTTTCAGGTAACCTCACAAATTTCATTTTACATCAGTTGAACACATGGTTCTACATTGATGTTGTTTTTTAAAGTTACAGGGCAAATTTTGAAGTAATTTCTTCCTTTGTTTCAGGTTAGTTGTGTAGATAACAGTATCAAAAGATCTGGAGGGTAAGAGGCAGTGGTAGAAATTGCAATGAAGTGTTTTGTTTGTCATCTGTCAGGACATGAGGCTGCAAAGCACCAGTAAGAGAAGATAACCAGGAAATCTCTGGAGATGGGAATGTCACGGATTCAGGGCCTTGTTCCTGTAGCTGCTCCAAGCTAGTCTGCTCAAAGTGAGTGAACCTTTGGCAAGAATCTCTCCCAGGCTTAAAGGGATGAGATTGCAGGAATGTTTCTTGCACATTTCTGAGAATATCTTGCAAAAAATTACTTGCTTTAATAATTATTGTTTTCACAGTGAAATATTATTTGTAGTATTAATTTGATAATTTGGGCTTTGCAGCATGTAATGAATAAATAACAAAATTTATTTGTCTAAATGATTTCTGTTGTGATCACCTCAGGTAAGTCTGAGCCTCATTTTTTTCATCATTAAGAACAGTGGTTTGTATCTATTCACAGGGAATAAGAAAAGCTAATAAATAATGATTCCTTCATTCATGCAACACCAAACCTTTACTGAAATTCCCAAAGGTTTTGTAAAGAGATAGAAGGATAATGCTTAATGAACAGAGACAGCTTTAAGGATGTAAAAAAATTGGATTTCACCTAAGAAAATAATGAGAGGTTGGATCATGATCCAGCAAACAACATTTGCAGTGAGCCTGGTCACACACCTGAAATCACTGCAACACCTGCATGTACAGAACTAAACTCAGGTGCTTTCCTAGAGCTGACACTGCTGCAAGGGAAAATATTTTAAAATTATTTTCTTTTTTGGGAAACCATGAAGGACAATGGTGCCTTTCCTTTTAAACAGCAAAAGAGGATAAGGAGTGAAGGAAGAATAAGGAACAAGCTCCATTGAAGCAGCTCTGCTGGCACCGAGCCTGCCTGGCCTAGCAGAAAAACTAAGCTATGTAAGAGGGAAAGAAGCAGCAGGAGAATTCCTTCTCTGGATTTTCCCCTAAAGCAGCACTCAGTAGCTTTTAAATGTGGCCTTCCCCTGGCCCATGGGCATTTGGGAGGGTCTGTTCCCATGGCATGCTGATTTCTCCAGGTCTGGACACATATATTCTCAGTATCTTGTTAGACCACTCCAGAAAGGACACACTCCCAGCTCTCCTGTGAATGCTCTGACCTTTGCAGTATTGAAATTTGGAAAGTTAGAAACCTCTAAGTGCTTCCTGAGCAGCAATTAGAATGTGATATTTTATATTATGTATCTATATCTCTATATGTGTGTGCTGGATCAGTTTATCCCATGTCCCACTGTCACAGGGACAGCACAGAACACATCAGGCTCCCTTGGTGTGATTGGAATCCACAGGAGCACAAAACAGGTAAGGAAGGGTTGAGGAGCAAAGGTTTTTTTGAGCAAGGGTCCTGCAATCTATAAATACCACAATTAGTGAGCAATTTTTTTGCCCTTGTAAAGATTCCTCAAAAATAAGCTGCATGTTTTTTTTCAAAACGGGCCCTCTTGTTTTTCCTCAGATAATACTCAGCAAAGAACATATACCATTTAAAAAATACAAACATTTTTATCCCCACAAATTCTTATTCACACAGAGCAACAGCCTGTTCTGATTGTTCTGTTGAATTCTGGGGACTCTCCATGAGCTAAAGTTGTGTTCAGCAGGAGTGAGGAGGACTCTGCCCATACAAATCAGATGCATTATTTTAATACAGACAACTTTTCTATGCAGTTGCTTTCAATTCTCTAATGTCTATTTTAAGTAATTGCTTTTCCACCAGAGATTGATTCAGTCCCCTGCTTTGAAGGCTTTTATTTACAAGCAAGTGTGGAGGGAGGGAAAGGGAAGGAACTTTCCTGGGATGCAACACTGAAATACTGGGAGCATTCTAGGAGAGGAATTGAGCATCCCTAATTTCTACTAATTTCAGTGCATGTCAAAGCTGCTCAGCACCTCAGAGGATCAAATACTTTCATACAGCAGATTATGCTTCTGTTCTGTTCAGGCAGTTTTCCCTCTTTTTCTTCTCCCCTTCTTGTTTAATATTTTTTTCATATACAGGGTGCAGATTTTTGTTTAAGGATGCTCAATATATATATATTTCTCTCTTGTTCTGCTTCCCAGTCAAACAGAACCTTTCCCTCAAGCTTCATGGCTTATTTTTACTACTTAAATTGAAGAATTGTTTTGTACTCCTTGACTCTCATGCAGCAGAGCCTGATCTGTGGCTGTATTACCAGGCTGTGTTACCATGAATCTTTGTATTCCTGAATATTCTGAGAGTTGCTACTACAAAGTGAAGCAAAACTTTCCTTATCATCCCTGCTCTTAAAGCATTGACTCATTGTTTGATCTTGCAGATCTCATTTCAGTGTTCTGAGCTTTGGAGGGGTTGTTTCTGATAGAAACCCCCTGCTGTGCATATTTTACTTGAACTTTTCCTAGGTACTCCAAAACTTGAGGCAAATAAGCAAAGAATAAGTGGTGGTGAATGCAATACTTTCTGTTTCGTTCCAATCTATAGGACTCCTATTCAGAGCAACTATTGGATATCACAAACTTAAAAAAACATCTGAAGTGAGAAGTGAAAGGACTTTGCTTTTCATTTCCCACAGGGTTAAAGGATTAAAGCAAGAAATAATCAACCCAGCATCCAATAATTGAACCAATATTTAAACTGCTAGCAAAAGAATCCTTCAGAGCAATCAAGATCTTTCTTTATTAATCTGAATCCTTCCCTGTGAACAGAGAACCTGGCAAAACCCCCACAAATGCCACAACAACAAGTTAAAACCTCTTCTCAGCACAAAACCCTCCTACCTGTGGAAGTGGATTGCACCGTTTTCCTCATCCACTCATAAGAGCTGTGCCTTTGGCTGTTGGGAGAGATTTGCTGCTGGGCATTAATTGTATCTACAGGAGGTAACCCCGCAGCAGCAGCAGCAGCAGCAGCAGTGGGGTGCAGGGAGCTGTAATCAGCAGAGCTGTAGGAGCCCTGCCCGGGGGACGAGCCATTGATGTGGGCAGCGGGCACGGCGCTGGAAGGGCCTGGGCCGTAGGCGCTCCAGTCCTCGCGCTGGGGGCCGTAGTGGGAGCCCCAGGCCGGTGCTGGCTGCCCGTGGGTGTCCAGGGCTGGCACAGGGTGGTATCCCATGTAGTCAGAGTAGGCTGGAGCAGACACGAAGTTTTGCACGGGCAGGTTGTTGCTGGTGCACCTTGCGGATCCTGGATACATGCTGCTGTCTTTATCCAACAGATAGCTCACGTACATGATGCTCACAGCCTGCCTTTGTCTTGCTGGGACATCCTGCTCCTCGCAGGGTTTGTTTGATCTCCCTTCCCCTCCTCTTTCTTTCTCTCTTTTCTAGCCCAGCCTGGCTCTATAAATGACTCCTGCTAGCCCTGATGTCCCTTTACTACACATGATTAACAATGGTTTTACCAGGTGCTGGTGGTAACAGTTTACTAAGGTCCTGCCTGATGTCACAGATAACTGCCTGCCCCAAAATTACATTTGCATTCAAATGAAGGGCTGCCCATGCAGGCAACCCCACCTTGCTGCTAGTTCCAGAGCTTCCTTTCTCACAGATCTTTATGTATTGCCAGCCCCCTTCTTTACTTTGAGAATGTGGTTTGAAATCTCGTGGTCCTCGAGCAGAGCTGAGTACGCAGTTAAACTGTTCAGGCAGCAGAAGTTGTATTTTTCTTGAGCAGTGCATGTCAGGATCTCACTTCAGGCTCTCTCTTAGACTTACTCAAAGCCTGGTGTCTGCTGGTCCAGTAGTAGTTCTGCTCCAATGTGCTCTATGTTTTATAAAAGTAAAACCAAAGGAGCAGTTCAGTGTTTAACTGCAGCTCTTGCAGAGCTCCTCACATGAGCACTCTTCTTGACTTCAGCTCTTCATCTGTGTGGGAGAGCACTTAGAAACCACAGTAATCCCGGTGATTTTACCATTACAAAGGATACACAAGAAGTCTCATAGTCATTTTGAGCATTTGTTCATACGAATAGTCTTGTTGATGTTAGCAAGCTATTCATGAGCTGGCTGCTTGCCATGGTGATTGAAGTTCTCTATTCTAACCTCCAACGTTCACAGAAAGGGAATCTGTTATTGAGAGAATGCAGAATTTGTCACTTTCCCTGTGCTTATATCTTGGTTGTGATACTGAAATAAGTGATAGTTTTCCCTGAAGGTTTTTTTTTTTGTTCTCATTGCTGTGCTTCTTCACAATAAGTAACACCTTTCCTTGGAAATATGGGAACAAATTATAGCTTTTTAGCTCAGGAAAGCAGTTTCCTAACTTTCAAGAGCAATCTTATGCTTGTGAGTAACAAATCCCTACGAGTTCATCTGTAACCAGCAGCAAGGAGAGAAAGTGTGGATTTCTTTTCTTAAACGAGATAGATACCTTAGCATTGTCTCTTAATGGGAGTTTACCCTGTTTTCATTCCTGCTCCTTTAACGATGTGATACTTAATTGCACCTTTATTAATGATCCAACTTGTTAAAAGGAGTTTTTCCTTAAACAGGTGCAAAGTATAATGAGTTTTTTCTTTGTTCAGAGGTGTATTTTTTTTCCCTGAGTCTTTTGCACTTTAACACCATTTCAACTTCCAGGAGGAAGGAATCACTTTGCACACCTGACAACACCTTTGTTTCCCTTAGTGAGAGAACGGTGTCCTTAGGCTGCATCCACAATGTACCTCTGGAAAAAGCTCTTTTGACCGATTATTTCAGAAGCACAGCTACCTGCTGGAGTATTTCAGATTCTCCTGCTGTGAACTTGGCTAAAAATTGTGTTCTTTTGCTTGTTTGCTTGTTTTTGGGGGGCTGATGTTTTGTCGGAGTAATTGCTGAAAGGTATTTTAAAAATCATTAGGTGGTGGGAAGTTGCCAGAAGCTGTTTCTGCTGCTTGCATATGTGAGTTTACTCACTTGCAATTTGCACATCTGTGACAGCTGGCCACTCAAAACTACCTAGCAGAGCTGCTGGGAAGGACTTCTCAAATCCAGGGAAGTCAGTGATCAGTGGGTCATGGATCTGAACTGCTTAATTCTGCTGCAGCAGCAAAATAAATCATGGTTGTCTAGTTTAGAATTTAGAATTGGATGTCTCTGGACAGACTGCAGTTAAAGTGTGATTTTAATGTAGTGGGATCTTGCTATTTTTTAACTCTAGTGTTTTTCTCCTCAAATTTAGAGCACTGTGGTAGCTCTTGAGTGTTGAAATAGTTACAAAGAAAGATACATTACATCTTTTTTGTTCTAAGATGATCTCATTTCCTATCTTCCTCTTCAAAACTGTTGAAGCCTCATCCTTGTAGGCATTTCAGTGCCTCTCCTGAGTGCAGGTGTAGCAATAAATCAGCCAGAAGAAGCAGCAGCATTTGCTCCTTTACTGGAGCCCTCCAGCTGTCTGCAAAATGTTTTAATTAATGTTCGTTCAATGACTTTTCCTGCAGGCATTATCTACTTGATATAGCCCAACACAGAGCTCTGCAGAAGGGCTGAGTTGGATCTGCCCTTGTTCAGTGTCCAGGAATGTTGGATTCACTAGGCTCCAGCCATGGATTCATTCTCTCCCACTGCAGCATTTTTCCATGAGGAACATTTTGGTCTATTTTCCACAATTGTTTAATTTGTCTTATGGAGCTACTGAAATCAGTGAAATGGTGATTATTCCTGTGTGTTAGAAAAATCACATAAAATACCTTTTGATGCTTTCAATAATACATGGGTATAGTGACATGGAAGGAGATTTTTCCTCTTCCTTACTGCCTAAAGAAAGGGCTTTACAATCTGGGATGGTTGGACTGACAATGCTTTGCTCCTCTGGCCACATGCTGTGCCCACGAAGCAGGAAACTGCTTCCTTTGGATTCCTTAGTACCCTAAGCTGGTCTGGCTCCAGCAAGCTGTATTGTATTTTATTTTATTTTTTATTTTATTTTATTTTTTAATTTTTATTTTTTATTATTTTTGGTTTTATTATTATTTTATTTTTATTTATTTTTATTTTAAATTTTATTTTTCATTTTATTTATTTTTATTTTAAATTTTATTTTTATTTTATTTTTTCATTTTATTATTTTATTTTATTTTACTGATTAGTCCAAGCTTTTATAATTGACATAATTTCAGTCTTGCCTATTAGTTAGACCACAGTCATTCGAGTGTGATTGCTGGAGCTATGTGAATAATCACACATTAATATAGTTACTTTAGAATGAAATATTTTCAAGTTCTCAAATGCAAAGTGAATGGAAATGAGAAATTGCCCCGAGTTCTCAAGAGGGAAAAGAACTTTACTGAGATGATCCTAAAACACCTTCACCCTTGGACCTCTCTAAGACACATTTTTCTAGTTCTAAATTTAAATAGTTCCCATCCTCTGAAGCTGGGAAGTGCTGTCCACCAGAGATCCTGGATGGGAAAACATCTCTGAAGGAGCTTTTATCAGGAGGTGTGGGCAGAGACTGAGCAGCAACAGTGGGATCCTCCAGTCCACTTTGATTATTCCTTTTCTGACACATGAATGAGTCTCCAGAACTTTCCTTTGTCATGTCACAAAGCCATGGATGTGCTGAGGTCCCATCCCCAAGCTGACCTGTCTCTCCTTTTAACCACATCCCTGTCCTGGCATGCAGACCTACACATCCCATCCTCTCATCTACGCACTGACAGAGCTCCAGGAGCTCGGTTTTATTTTTCTGAAGCTTTTCTTTTCCTTTTTGGTCTCCAAAGAGCAGCAGCACCCATTTTTGGAGGTGTGTTCCTGTTCCAAGGCTGATCTCTGACTCCAGTGAAGCAATGGGGACAGCTGCTGGTCAGCTGCCTGCATGGCAAGGAGACCTTTCCAGGCTTGCAGGGATTTAGGGAGATTTCAAAGTTCTCAGCCTGCTCAGTTCTGTTTGGAGCAGGATTCGTGTCAGTCATTTCCAGCTGCAGGAAGCAGCAAAGCTCCTGAAGAATCCTGGCTTGGAATTCTGGATATGTTGCAGGGATTTTTGCTCTGCTATTGGATTAATGGTATCATCTCTCCTTTAAAACCTGGACTATTATGGAACATGCCAAGCTTTTAAATATTAACTTTTACAAGGAATTTTCTGGGCTAAAAGGGTCTGAAAGGTGCTGTAGTACAGAGTGGGGTTGCTGAGTGGTGACAAGCTGGGGTGTGAGCAGGCAGGGCTGGGACACTCCTGCCATCCACTGTGCCACTGCACACCAGGGAATGACCTCAGGACATGATGGCAGTGAGGAGCCAAGAGCAGGACTGTGACATTTTACTCTTGCATTTTCTAAAAAGCAGCTGTGCTTCAAATGTATTTTCTTTGTTAATCAGTGTATATGCTCTTAAAATAATGTCCCCAACTTCCAGCTAACATATGCTGACATAAGCGTAGCCTTTAGGATGGCTACAGTATGCAGCTTTCTCAAAAGAACTCTGACAATACTCCTGGTTCTGAAAGAAAACCTCTCCTTTCCTCACTGTTGTTCTGTGTGCTTTGAATTTTAACACCTTGCAATGCACTGGATCTCCTTGGGCTGTGTGAGTCACGGCCCTGCTGCGATGGGATTGGCAGTGGTGACGCTGTGGCAGCTTTCAGTAATTCACATAACCTTCAGTTATTCTCCATATTCATTCTCCAGAACCTTCCCAGAAGTGCAGACAGATCACAGCTACTCTTCAGTGCCTGCTGCCTCACCTGCCCCTCTGTCTCTATATGATATTCTTGGTTAGGTTCTTTTTCGCCTTGAACTGAAGTTGATGAGAGGGAGACTGTTTTTTCTCTTGTTTGGACTTGGTTGTTTATTCTTTTCTTATCAGCATTACATGGATACAGGGTACAAGGAGCTATGTGCAGTAAGATAGAAAGGTGTAAAATGGCCAACAAAGATCTTCTTCAAGGTCTTTTATATGTCCATTTACCCAATTAACGGGTGCCAACTAAATTATTTTTCTTAGTGACCCAATGACCCAACACCTGTGTGCTGCACTGTGACATTTTCTATCCAATCACCTCCTGCTACCCAAAAACCTCTAGAAGAAGAAGATGAAGAAGAAAGAAGGAAAAGAGACAAAACCCTAAATCCTCCATCTTGTCTTCTGTTCCCTAAACTACTTTAAACTCCAAGCTTTAACTTTTTCACCCAGTGACATAAGAAACTCTCTAATTTACACATTTACACTCCTAGCGTTTTTATTTAACCTTAACAGTTGTTTTCAGGATGTTATACAAAATTCAGTGCTTTCTTGGATGTCAGAGCCAGGTATCAGAGATAAGGGCACACTCTCTGTGCCTCTGACTCCAACACCCCTCTGCT